TCAATGTGACCTCTTCTACTACACCTTACATTTTACAAACCAATTGAAATGCAAAAACTACATTAACACAGCTAATTTTAGACTCTTTAGGGTATTGTTGACAGCCTCTTTCTTACTGGTCAGTGAATTACATCTCAGCTGCCAAGACAATAACTATGGGTCCAGTGATAATGTACAGTGCATTCATCTGCAAGAGAAAATCCATTCAGCCTGCACTGATGATAATATCAATTCTGAGCACATCTATAAATGGGTTTATATAAATACATGCTGGCTTACTAGCTCGGTTGCAAAATTGTGATGAACCTAATGATCTGTGACAACATGTATGCAGTGTAGTTTGCTATGAATAGGGATGTTTAAAAGGAAAGAAGCAGATTGTCTAATAAGCAATGTGAATTTTGATTTGCTGGAATGTATTGGCCGTGTTGTAAGACGTCAACGCTTCACCGGCTGGAAACTATAGCAGCAGCCCTCATACTGATCTATTATTTGCTCATATCATGCTGAACTTACATCTTAAGTGTACCATCTATTTCCACAAACCTGAAAGAGAAACCATTAAGAATCCATATAGCTTTAGTAGAGTGAATGTGTCTTTTTCTGAGATACATACTATATGCACTAGTGCATTATAATAGGTTTATATTACTGTTTCTGCTGTCATTATTTATTTTATATATGTTTGGTGTGCTCCTCATACCAAATTCGCACCAGGTAAGTCAATACCAGAGTTAGGCCTAAGCTACCTGGATGATTGTCAGTAGCTCAGTCATGGCACTGAAATCAGCTGCAATTATGTATTATTATGGTTGTAAAGGTATATACTTACCTGTTCTGCTCCTCTTCTTCTCTGAGTGTCCCCATAGCAAGCCTTTAGCTATGGAGGTCACACATGCAGGCATGTTCCCATAGCTGGGTTGTGTGCATCTATAAGCGCACACAGGGTGGCTCAGCCCTGCACCTTCTCAGTCCTCACAGGATTTTATTGACAGCTGTCAGTGGCTCTCGTTGCTGTCTCTGTGCCTGTGAGAGATAGGCAGCAAAGATAAGCACTGCTGCAGATGATCACAGACCTGGATTGAAAGAGAAGGGGAACACCCTCCCATTGCAGGAGGTTAAATGCTCATTTTTGCTTAGGCATAGAGGAATAAGGAGTAATACTTACTTTACTTGCTGCAGAAGAGTACAGACCTGGATCAAAAGTATATAAGTATTTAAAGGGGGGCTGAGGGGAGCTGATCATAAAATGCATTAGGGGGAAAAAAAAGACCCTGATGCCTTTAAACCCACTTTGATCACTAAAAGTAACAATCTGTAATCAACAGATGAAACACATGCCTCATATGTTGTATGCTAAACAAGAAATGTGTACTAAAACTTTTGGAAACCATAACTCCTGAGGTTGTGGGAAGATCTTTGGGCAAGGGCCGAATAATGGGTAAGGCCAAAGTGAGAAGGGCTTAAAGGATTGATCCAAAGCTTACAGAATGGTGGATAGGTGGTAGCTAGGTGCCCCTAGCTGACATATACAAACCATTACAGTGACACAGACTGTGGTCCTGGCTCCCAGCTATCCATCATTCCAGTGATACTAACACTGTTATCTGCAGGTGACAGTCAAATGCACTATCAATGTCATTGGAATGGTGGATAGGTGGGAGCAAGGTGCACACCCCATTTCAGTGATACTGACAATGCACCTGGCTGAAACCTACCTACTCTCCATCAGGTAATTGACTTATTTCCCTGGGCCCACTGCTGCCCAGCTCCTTCACACTTGCCCACTACAACCAACCCTCTGGCTACACTGATCCTCGCTCACCTGCTGAGCTCTTACCTTGTTTCTGTCAGTGTAACACTCGCCCTGATTAGTAGGACCATTCTCCCAGAGACCTCCAGCTGTTTCAAGCCTCTGCTGGACTCCTGACCGGTAATACCAGGCATCCAGCCAGTCAGTGCAGTCTATGTGTTAGGCACACAAGAATGACATTATGCACACTGCCTGTATGCTTACTAATATTACACACCAGCAGCCCAGAAAAAAATCCAGAAATATGCTTGATTTCAGCAATGACCTGATGACTGGTTAAAAATCCCAAAATTGTATGGTCAATTACAGAAAGTCCCCAGGTATGGTGCTTATGTGTAATCAATCCATACTATATGCTTCTTGTGTGGTTTATGCTAGAGGGAGGCATTTGTCCAATCTATTTGCAATTTATTGCTATGTTTAGAAATTGATCACATAGGTGCTGAACACAAGAGTTTTTTTTGTAATAAAAAATATTTCCTGCATTTGAAATATGTTCCTGGCAGACATCAGGAGGATCAGCAGGAGAAGAAAACTCTATAGCCAGTTGCAACTTCTGCATCAAAGGTTTGTCAGAACCACTTGCCAAGTTCTACATTAAGGCTAGGTGCTGCGATCTGATTTTGATCTGCTTTTGTAGTGCTACTTGAATGCAACCTGGATATAATATGGATGCAATTTGGATGTAGTTTGCTTAGAAGGTGGGGTCGAAATCATGCTGGAATTGCATCAAAGTAGTACAGTAACCTTTTTTCAAAATCTCGCAGTGCTGAGTTGCATTGATGTAAACAGCACCATTGAAAACAATATGATTTCCATTGTCATGCGATTCTCAAGTTGCATCTGAAATCTCACTAGTGTGAATGGAGCCTTAATATAGAATTATACTTAGGGATCTATTTACCAGTATTAGCACACAAGAGTCATACAATATCTAGCAAAGATTCACCCATTTTCCGCAAAACATTCAATTAAAAAAGGGGTGAATCTTGGGTGAAAGTTGCATGAATCTTAAGTGAAAATTTTAATAAATAAATGCCCTAGGTTGATAAAGAGCAGTGTATATCATAAACATTTGCCTTCACCTTTTTATCATACTTTTTTTGCAAATCTTTGTAGCCCCTTCCTGTCTGCATCCACTTGCTCTAGCAGTGTAATTGTTCAGAGCTGGCATCCTGATGGTGACAACAGTCAATCACCCCATAACAGACAGTGGTTGAACTAAGACCTTCATTGCATGATTTCCAGGTATAGTTTTAAAGAAGCTGTATTTGGAAGATGGTGAAGAAGGAAAACAGCTATTGCTTCCTTTATTTCCCGGGTCTGCCTATCTGTTGCAGCTATTATAAGGGGTGCTACTTAGTTTTTTTATGTATTTTATACTATAGAAAAGAATGGAATAAAAGCAGGAATTGTAGCATAGAGCCCTGAAAGAGTATGAGAAGCCAGTGGGTGACTCAACAAAACGCTGATTTCAAACCCTTTGGTGCTTTATAAATACTGTATAATAATAATAATATTTTGCTAATAAAAGCTTAATATTTTACATCTAGTTCAAGCCTAAAATGTCAAAGCATGAACACCTATTTACAGCATATAGATAGCTCAACAATGGTAGAAGAAAAAAAAAAAAAGAAACTTTTTATATACACAAGCCATTAAGAACTTAAAAAAATGTTATATAGGAGGTAAAAAAGCAAAAAACAGTACATAATTGTTTCCTGTTTATGCTACTATGCATGTGGCTGCTAAAATATTATTTCATAAAGACTTTGCTGCCAGCTGTCTGTTATCATTTCATTGCAAATAGGAAAAAACTAGAAAACAGCAAATACTGTCAGGAATATTTTCAATCTGTTTTCATTGTGAAATATGAAAATATGGGAGATAAATGTGCACAAAATCGGGTTTATACTAACCTTGTGCCATGGTTAAGTTACATAAGCTAATGGTAGCATTGCACACCTTCAACTGCAGAAAAATAAATAAATAAACAACATCTAGATAAGGGGATAAATGGCATGGTCCAACCCACCTCCTTCATGGCAATGCCAAGTGAGCAAATCATCAGGCTCAGGTATTGGCACATGGCTATTATAGGGATGTGTCCAAACCTACGCAATTGAATAGCAATTTATAATTGGAAATAGAGAACTTTATGGACTTTATAGGCACTACAAACAGTGATTCATAAAATATAACACTTTATTGAACATACACAGAATAATACATACACATATAAAACAAAAATTGTCTCAGAATATACTCTAACCCTGCAACATACAAAAATATAATGAATGCAGATTTACATATTAATGGTATCTCCCACACTGACAAAAATATGCCGCAGATGCAGCAATACCTAAGAAGGGATACTCTTGAACTGATAATAGTAGTAATAGTTCAACATGTTTCATGGTGTTATCAGACGCTTCCTTCCATCACCTCTATGCAGATGTACATATCTTGAGGTATCACAATTGCTCTGCTACCACAGTCTGCTGAACATGATACTACATAAACATTAGATGTTGCCATGGTTTAATTGCACACACTTTTTCTTGCAACTGTACATATAACTTTGTATGTAAGTTGTTCTTTGCTATTTTATCAATACGATTTTGTATATTTCTCCATGTAGAAGCCTTCTTACAGCTCCTGAAGAAGCGATATGATCGCAAAACATGTTGAGCTATTACTGTTATTATCAGTTTAAGAATATCCCTATGTAGGTATTGCCACGTCTGCACCATATTTTTGTCAATGTGGGAGATACCATTAATATGTGAATCTGCTTTCATTATATGTTTGTAGTGCCTATAAAGTCGATAAGTTTCTCTATTTCCAATTATAAATTGCTTTGATTAGGACATGGCACTTTGGAGCCTTTGTTTACATCCCCACAGTAAACACCCTGTGATGGGAGCAACCCTTTCTAATTACGCAATTGAATAGTTTGAATGGGAAAATATTTGTTTGTTTTAATTATTTACTTGATTGTTTTCTGGAGGTTTCATTTCATGCTCTATAGATACAGTATGTATATATAATCATATCTACATTGGATATTAATAAATACACACATACACTATATTGCCAAAAGTATTGAGACACCCCTCCAATTCATTAGATTCAGGTATTCCAATCACCTTCATGGCCACAAGTGTATAAAATCAAGCACCTAGGCATGCAGACTGCTCCTACAAACATTTGTAAAAGAATGGGTCACTCTCAGGAGCTCAGTGAATTCAAGCGTGGTAGCGTGATAGGTTGCCACCTGTGCAATAAGTGCCTCCGTGAAATTTCCTTGCTACTAAATATTCCACAGTCAACTGTTTGTGGTATTATAACAAAGTCAAAGCAACTGGGAAAAACAGCAAGTCAGTCACAAAGTGGTAGGCCACGTAAAATGACAGAGTGAGGTCAGCGCATGTTGAAGTGCACAGTGTCATCAGAGTCAATAGCTAAAGACCTCCAAACTTCATGTGCCCTTCAGCTTAGCACAACAACAGTGCGTAGAGAGCTTCATGGAATGGGTTTCCATGGCTGAGCAGCTGCATCCAAGCCTTACATCACCAAGTGCAATGCAAAGCGTTGGATGTAGTGTTGTAAAGCACACCACCGCTGGGCTCTAGAGTAGTGGAGACGTGTTTTCTGGAGTGATGAATGCTTCTCATGCTTATCTGTCTGGCAATCTGATGGACGTGTCTGGGTTTGGTGGTTGCCAGGAGAACAGTACTTGCCTGACTTTGGGGATATCCCCTTCCTGTTCCAACATGACTGCGCACCAGTGCATAAAGCAAGGTCCATAAAGACATGGATGAGTCCTGACCTCAACCCAAAAGAACGCCTTTGGGATGGATTAGAGTGGAGATTGCAAGCCAGGCCTTCTACTCCGACATCAGTGCTTGACCTCAAAAATGTGCTTCTGGAAGAATGGTCAAACATTTCCATAGGCACACTCCTAAACCTTGTGGACAGCCTTCCCATAAGAGTTGAAGCTGTTATAGCTGCAAAGGGTGGGCCAACTCAATATTGAACCCTACAGACTATGGAATTCCATTAAAATTCATGTGCAGGTAAAGGCAGGTGGCCAATACCTTTGGCAATATAGTGTATATACTGTGTGTGTGTGTGTGTATATATATATATATATATATATATATATATATATATATATGTATATATATGTGAATAATATATATATATATATGTTACACTGTATGTTTAATTAGGTGCTTGTGTATAACTTTAAAGTCCTTTTTACATTTATCATTTCTTTATTACATTATTATATTTACCATAAATATTTCTAGAATAAAATACAATATTATTATATACTCATAATAATTTATATTTTTTTGGTAAGAAAGCCTCACATCATCACCAATTTTCAACAATGAAAGCATTTTCTTTTTATCCGATGGCTCATTAAACTAAAGGGGTAGGTAAACAAGGCATGTTCTGTTGGATTGGCTCCTACCTTAGTGGCGTCTGGTTGTAAAATGTTATGGTGGAGAATTGGCAGATAGTGAATAAATGCAGGACTGCAGTTAATTATAATTTGGAAATGTATTAACATAGGTTTGTTATTCTAGATTTCAATGTTATCTTGTACAAGCTGTCCATGTTCTCCTGTGTACATTTCTAGTAAGAGGGTGAGCTAACAGAACAGCAAGCTCATTCAGTGGTAAGAGGATTAATTGCATATTATCATGAATGAATAAATACCTGTGTGAAAGACATTGTATCATAATTCCATAATAAAGGAGTTTTCTGCAAGAAATGGATTGTAATCGTATCAAATTGTATTTGATATACAATATACATACAGTATATTAAGGGCAGTATGTATTTGGATCTGACAACAAGTGGGGTCACGGTGTATAGAAAATGACAGTGCAGTCAACATCCAGGCAATTGTGGATGGTTTGCCTGCATAGTGCCAATTACAATATCACATGGCAAAGGCCTTTTTTTCTATACTGCTAACACCTGCGCTGATTGTAGAAAACCCACAATAAAAATTCCCCATTAAAACTTCTGCCAAGCTGCTTCCCTGGTTCTATCACTGCTTCAGGTGCTGGCTCACACTGCTTGTCCTACACAGCAAATGTTCTAAAAAGTGAAGGTAAAGTCCCACACCGTTGAAGTCACACCATAATACTTTATTCAATGTAGCTGATTTCCAAATATGTAATCCCCAGCTTGACCATGCCCTTTTGAAGCGTTTCACTCTGATTGAGCACAGTCGTAGAGGTATACAATTAAGCCCATTTGGGGTAAAAAGCATCAATGTGGCATGGCCTAGGTGGGGACTGCGTTATTGGAAATCAGTTACATTGAATAAATTACTATGGTGTGACTTCAACCGTGTGTGGCTTCATCTTCACCTGCACTGATGGTTTTACATACTGATGACTGTTTGACTGTCTTTGTTTCTTTCCTGGACATTATTATTATTATTATTATTATTCATCTAATTTAATGATTTTTACTGACTATAGTTTTGCTGTATAGCAGCTAAGGTTAGGGGTTGTTGAAGCAATTCATTTTCAGTTTCTTTTTTTTTTTGTAAAACAACAAACATGTGTATACTTACCTACTGTATGCAGTGGTTTTGCACAGAGCAGCCTGGATCCTTATTCGGTCCCACTCCGGTGCTCCTGGCTCCTACTGTCTGTCGGGTGCCCCCACAGCAAGCAGCTTGCTATGGGGACACCCACTTCTCTGTCCATTCACACACGGAGCCGCAATTTTGCCCCACCCCCTCTCTCTCCTCATTGGCTGACTAGCTGTGATTGACAGAAGTGGGAGCCAGTGGCTCCTGCTTGCTGTCTCAGCCAATGAGGAGACAGAGACCCGGGACAGCGGAGGCTGTCATTCACATCGCTGGATCATGAAGAGGCTCAGGTAAGTATTGAGGGGCTGGGGGAGCTGCTGCACACAAAAGGTTTTTCACCTTCATGCATAGTCTTTTAAGAGGGTATTTAGCCCTGGTTCACACTGAATATAACTTTGAAATCTTGCTACATTACTTGAAGTAGCGCGAATTCGAAGCTACAGATCAGTGCGATTTGTATCTCTGATTTCACTGTGGCTTGCAACTTCATTTAACAGAAGTCAATGCAAGTCGCAATGAAATTAAAAAAAAGTAGTGCAGGAACTATTTTTGAAATCACACTACTTCAGATCACACTAATTAAAACGGTGCCATACATTAGATGTGACTTAAGGTGCGATTTGTAAATCTCATATCGCACCTGTGTGAACCAGGACTTAATCTAAAAAATTTTAACTCTGTAATTTTATTTTTATTTGAATATTAGAATGGCAATCATTTTAAAATAGATGAAAAAAACATATGTATTTGTCTTATTGATGACATCAGCTAGATTTGTGATTGTGAAGTTTTGGAAACTTTTGATTTTTCACTTTTCCTTCCTCCTAGAGGTAGAAGGAGCTTTTAGATGAGGCCAAAGGCAGACACCTTACTATTTAAAACTGCTTGGTTAAACTTACTAAATATTTTAAAGTGTATGCATTGTTTTGGATAGAGTAGGGCAATATTAAAACCCCTCAGTTTATTTTTGCTGTCTGTGTCCTGTTGTAGACATTTTCCTTCAATTGCTGCCCTGTAGTTGCTACAAACTGAATGACATGTATATACATATATATTAGGGTTGCACTGTTTATTCTATTGGCGAGTATGAGTACCAATATGCTCAAGTACTAGCTGATACCGATTACTGATACCTTTGCGGTGCAATCTGAGCCCATACCAAATGAATGGGCTCAAATTGCACTGCAAAGAATCACATGTGATTTGAGCAGGAATGCGGTGCGATTCCTGTCCGAATCACATGTGGTTTCCCTGTGGGTGTGGTGCAATTAGCAGTGTGATTTGAGCCTTACAAAATGAATGGCTCAAATCGCACTGCAAATTGTACCACATCCATACTTTTAAGCCAAGGTTCACACTATTGCGGGCCGCTTGACCCGCATTTGCTCGGGCATGGAAGCCCATTCATTAGAATGGGCTGCTGTTCCCACGTTTCCCGCAGTAAAAAGGTGCATGCATCTTTTAAACAAAACGCAGCTGCAGGGAAACCGCATGGTCTTTTAACTATTCAGTTACCCTGCAGTTCCAATGCTCGCAAAGGTGCTGCAGTCTGAGATGCATGGGGTGCCATACAAGATAAATGGCAGCCCCATGCATCTCGTAAGAGCAGCGAGATTTGGCTGTGGGTAGTTGCGGGTGCAGGAACAGGCACAATTCCTGCACCCGCAACCAGCCTGCAGAGTGCGGCAAGTGTGAACCTAGCCTTAATGAAATCATTAGTTCTGTTCATGTACAAAAAATATTTTGGAGTTTGTCTCTTCGTTTGGGAAGTCTAATTCGGATGTCAAAAGTTGTGTACACACTATATTAAAATCAGACGATCAGTCCTCGTATGGAATTTTTCTTTCGTTATTCTCATGCCAAATATATATTCAAAATGATTTGCCTTACAAGGGTGGGTATGATAAAAAAAAATGAGGTTTTTGCTATTCATATGGTTTTATTCTTAATGCGCTGTTGTTTAAAATTCAATATACTTTTGTAGTTATTTTATAGATATATTTAAATTTGTCCTTGTTTTAGAAATCCCTTCTAGTTATTGGTATATGGCCTAGTGGCCTCCCTGCCAATTTAATTTTTGTGCTGATAATACTACCTTTTTGAGATTGTTTTCTTATGTTGTGCCTCAAAAGAAGACACTTGACAATATAGTGTGTGTTAAGTTGACTTTTACACATTGTGCCACTATACTAAAGGCAAGATGTGGTTGCATATCCATTACTGCCTAGGTTTAAACAATGGTGAAATCCATGTTTTGTGCATAGGGCCTTTACTGGATGGGGGATTTTACTGTTTGAATTTTAAACATTAATCATGACCATCTTTAATGCCATCTTGTTATCAAAATGTCCTTGCAACATATTTATTCATTAGGATATAATAGTAGTGTTAATTTTGTTCAAGCACATACCGTGTAATTTCTAAATTGAAAAAAAACATGCCATTGCCTTTTTAAAGTATAATTAAACAGAATAATTAATTTGTATATTTATTTATTTTGCATAGCCAGTTGGTATATTGAAATCCATTCTATGCAATATAGCCAACTGTCGCATCTAACTGCAGTCAGGTCAGCAAAGCAAAGTCAGGAATGAGAATTTCTTGACAGAACTATTGCCAGTCTTGGTTTGGCAATAAATCACACTGTGCATAGAAATCCAAACTGCCAGATATATTCACTAGCTCATTAGCTGAGGATGAGAGTCAAAGTGAAGGTCATTTGCCTGAGTGGCATGCTGTCCTTATTTGAGCCAGTTGCAATATTGGATTTTAACAAGTAAACAAAACTGCTCTCCTGTTGTTGTGTCTATATTGAATCTCTTTGCAAATAAATTGATTTATGAAAATCCCATGGAGAAGCAAAGAGGTTGAAATGAACTTTTTTTTTTAATTTCAGCTTCTCAATTTAGAATTCCTGCTGTTTGCTA